CAGATAGTACCTGTGGAAGGCAAGAATTAAACATAGTGTGACTCAGATATTGATTCTCATATCACCTTTTATGATTACGTGGACTTTATGATATGATATGATAAGATATGATATGATATGATATGATGTGATATGATATGCTCCAATCCTTCCAGGCACCCTCCTTTTGTAGATCATTCTACCTGGAGCATTCTTTTTTGTGATTTTTTGGGTGGTATATCTTGTGAATTCCCATTTATCCCTTTTTGCAAAAATGAAGTGCATAGCTTCTACCTCATGAGTGGATGGATAATCTGAAAATTACACGTGCTTGTACATTAGCCTGTACCATGTCCTGTCTGTACCAAACTGTGTGCTTCATGCAGCCTCTTGCATCACTCTAACAACCAATGAAAGCAAGTCTAAAAACTGCACACAACATTCCCTTGGTTCTCTGAACTTTTTTTGTACCCTGTTAGATTTTACTCTGACTCTTAACTCATGAAACCCCACCTCCCTATCTTCTAATTCTGCCAATATTAAAAAAGGAGCAAGATATGCCATGCTGCTCTATATACTGGATTTACAGTCTGTACTGTGATGATGTAAAGCTCGAGGTTCTGCAGAGGTACCTGTGGCTGGCAACATCTGCCCTGAAGACAGATATAGGAAGAACTTCTCAAACAGGTATAACTTCCCACAGGAAGACAGGAGATATCTCATGTCAGTGAGTTCCCTGTCGTTAGAGGTATAGACAGAAAAGGAGAAGGTTTGGAGCCTTATGTGAGGACAAGTTTTCTCAGGAAGGAAAAGAAGATTATGTGGATGGATGTAAACCCAAGTGGCCAATGCAAAGTTCCATCTTCTCCCAGGAGAGCGTTTAGCAGGGATTAAGTCCACTTCAGAAAAGCAATTCAGTTGTTTCACTTACCAGTTCTAGGTCACAAGATAACATTAAAAAAGTGACTGACAAAAAAAGTGACCGACCTCTTCGTACGGGAATGACTGATGGCAGGATGACGTTCCAATGCTACTCCTCACGAAGATGGCATTTGATACCTCCCCAAGGGCAAATGCACTTCCTAGGCTGACTCCTAAACCCTTGCCAAACTCTCCTCTGCTCTGTATTTTCTCTATTAATGTGGCAGGAAAAGTCAGCAGGCAGGACTGAGCATTGTTTAGTCCTTCTCCATTTCAGCCTGGAGATACCAGGAAAAAATTAAAAAGTAGAGAGAGGAAATATGGATTCAATTCTTAATATGTGCTGCTGGCCATGAGAAATATCAAAACCATAAAACATGGTCCCTAATCTCCCTCAAGGAGGTTACAATATACTGAATAAATTTTAAATTAAATAAGAAAGCATTTGAACTATAGTTCAGTATATCAGTCAAAGAGGGCTACGAGGCAGGAAATGATTAACTGGAAAATGATTGGAACAGGCTGTAATTGGTATTGAGAAACGTGAATTTGCTCTTTTTTTGGAATCTGGGTCTGGTTTATCACGACGATTTGTTCTAAAGAGAGGTTTTGTTTGGGCAAAGGGCACAGGAAAATTCTTTTATATCTACATCCTGAAAAGAACAAGGTGATGTTTCTTAAAGCCAGACTAACACTGCTAGAGGCTGGTAAACTTGGCTGTCTCTCAAGACAGCACCAAAGAGAGGGTGTGCTGGGAGGTGATGAGTCATAGGAAGAAGACCCATTTTTGTGTCCTCACAAGCTCCAAAAGGAGGGAAAAGTCAATAGCATGCTGTATTTTAAAAGAGATGACATTGGCGATTTATGAGGAAAGGAAGTAATTACGTAAGTTTCGAGGCACCTGGCGAACAGAAGGATTTGGATAAATTTATGGTGTTGGGTGGACAGTGAAATAATATTCCAGTTTCCAGTGACATTTATGACTGTGAAAGTGCTGGAAAGCAATGGAACGAAGGTACCTCTTCTCATGTCCTTTGCCTGCACCACTGGTAAATCAGCACCCATCCTTGCATATGAAGTACTTGTTAAGAGGGATAAGCTTCCTATTTTTTTTCTCTCATAAATATGTATACATTTCCCTGCTGATTAAGAAATCTGAGACCTTCAATGAGTCACTTAGTCTGTGGAAAGGAAACTAGGAAAATTTCTGTCCATCAAAGTGAAAAAATGTAAGAGGTTAGCCATCTGTCTGAAGTGCTGAGTGAGAAACTGAAAATAACAGAAGAGGATGAGAATCCAAATGCATGTTGCTCAAATGGTGCGGCAATTGCAAGGAAAATTTTTCATTTAAAAAGCCCTAATACATCAAAAGCCCCTGGAACTATGGCAGAAACAAAGCAAAAAATTCTCTGTAGAAACATTTACATAACCTGCTATTCTTGGGGGACCATAGTGTTTAGAAGGAGAACACCTCTGCAGAGGGTTAACTCATGATCACAAGTTACAAATGTCACAAGGAAGCAACCCACCATGGGGCTTGGTGCACAGCAAACAGAAGAATGAGAAGCCCAAGGCATTATTCTGTAAGATGATAGGTCTGAAATTATTAAATATATAAAATTTTTAAAAATCATAATAAAATAATAGGGTGTTGTAATTTAAAAAATGCAGAACTGTATAGGATCCAAAAGAATATCCCAGTTGAACAGATTAAAATTAAAACACAATCTGGGTGTGGTGGTGGATGCCTCTGATCCCAGCACTTAGCAGGCTGAGAAAGAATTGCCAAAAATTTTTGACAAGCCCTGACTGCATATGTGAGTTCAAGACCAGCTTGAATTACACACTGAGACCCTGTCTCAAAAAATGAAAACTTAATTAGTTAATTAATTAGAACATAAAACTAAATATTACCAATGAAAGAATAAATTAACTAGAAAAAGAGATCAGTGGGAATCATCCAACTGCAGCCCAGAGAAATAGGGAATGCAAAACACTAAAACAGCATTAATAACTCAGACAGAAGAATGAGAATGTCCAGAAGACTTTAAAGAAAATCTTCAAGAAAACAAAATCATTTTACAGGTCATTTGGGAACTGCTAAGTAAAACAATCAAATAATGCCACATCTCTATTAAAATAGCAAAAATCGCAACACTGACAACACTATTCAGTGCTGGCGAGAAGGTGAAGCAATAAAAATTCTCATTTCTCACTGGTGGGGATGTTAAATGACCTCATCACTTGGTAAGAGTTTCCTGCAGTGTAAAACACTCTTCCCATACAGCTCAGCAATAATGTCATAGTCCTAGGCTTTTACCCCAAAGACAGGGAAAATGTGTGTCCAAAAACTTACACCTATGTTTACAGCAAGTTTATTTGTAATTTTTGTAATTTGGTAAGTTGGAAGAAATGAGGACATCCTTTTTTAGTCAATGGATGAGTGGACTGTGGAACATTATTGATGATAAGACATAAGCTAACCAGCCAGGAAAAGACATGAAAGATCTGTAAACACATATCAGAAATCAGTCCAAAAGGGTACACACATATAATTCTAATTCTGTGACACTCTACAAAACACCATACCAGAGAGACAGTTAAAAGCTGTGATTTGGAAAGGGTTGTGAAGGGAATGCTGGGAAAAATGGATAGGATGAAGAGTTAATATTTAAAATAATAATACATGGGATTTGTGTCAGAATTTGAGTTATTAAATTGAAGAATTATAGAGTACAAAGCCCAAATAAGACAAATCCATGCTTATACTCCACATCAAAAATACACTAAAAGCCTCAAAAGTAATCCAAGAGGAAATAAAATTGAATAGAAAGTAAGGACAAAGAGAAAATTAGCCAGTTTTTGCAGTCCAGAGCAGAAGAAAATCTACTTAAATTTTTGTTTTCAACTTATTCAAGAATGAAAATAAACCAAAATTATACATACTAACTTCATAAAAATTAAAGACACCAATATGAAACCAATAACCATGATTAACCTTTTCAAAGGAGAATCAATAAAAACACTTGAACCATTTCTTTTTCTCCAAATACTTTTTACTACATCTTAGAAAACATTTATATATATCCATACCAATACATTCATACTTTTCACTTAATACTATATGCATCTTTATCAGTATCCTTGACAGATACTTTTGAAAGCTGAATCATAGTCTAAGAGCCTAATTCAGTTATTGCTATAGTTAGTATAATTATTAGACATTTATATCAAGCATTTCTCCTAAATGGTGACTGGTTAAAACTTCCATTAAAGAGAGAGAAAATGTTGGTAAGCATGCCTGTATTTTTATTTTTTCACTGAAAAAAATTCACCTGTTCATGCAATTGCCTGCTAAAATATGAAGGTATTCACTTTGCAAGGGACAACTTAGGGCCAAATATGCGTTTTCAATTGAAGTTTTGTGCCCAAAGTGTACTGCTCTTGGTTAACTCTTTGGAGTCACTCTGGATGTTCTAAAGATGTGAAAAAGAGTGCTTTATGTGACGACTATCGCTTGGCAAGGAATATTCTAGATTTCATAAAAATAAGTAGTAGCAAGAGCTATTTTGAGAACTTACTGTGAACCAGGTACTTTAGAAATATATACATATATATATATATATATATTTTTTTTTTTTTCTTACCACAACTCTGGGAAGTAGATGCTATTGCTCTATTCATCTCACAAACATATTAAGTATGGTTCCAACGTCACAGAGCTAGTAAATGATGAAGTGACAATTGAAATGAAAATTTTCCGGTGGAGCTGGCTACTGATTAATCCTCGCTGCTGGTTTATTCTGAGTTTGGGTAAGTATGGGTAGCAGGGATAAGGGGAAGCTAGAGGAAAGCAGCACAATAGCCACCAAAATTAAATCAATCCAGGAACTGTGACAAATCTACCATCTGGAAATGTTATCTAATTCATCCTCTCTGTAGTGATATTAGGCAGGTGTTGCTGTCATTCCTATAGTCAGCCAGTGAGCCAGTGGAGCTCAGAAACCTTAAGGTCACACGTGTCTGTCCCTAACCCAAAAGGGTCTGCCCCAAAGCACACACTGTGGTGCTCACTGCCTGTGGGTGCTGTGTTCATGCAGGTGAGATGGAGGAGCTGGAGACACTGTGGCTCACAGGCATCTGTCACAACGAGAAGAATGAAGTGATGAGCAGCCAGCTGGACATCGACAACATGGCAGGTGTGTTCTACATGCTGGCGGCAGCCATGGCCCTCAGCCTCATCACCTTCATCTGGGAGCACCTGTTCTACTGGAAGCTGCGCTTCTGCTTCACAGGCGTGTGTTCCGACCGGCCCGGGCTGCTCTTCTCCATCAGCAGGGTCAGTACTGCCGGTGACCATTTCCTCATGCATCATACAGGTTCAGAAAAGGCCTGGGATTTCAGAGAATCTGGCGTTTCAAAATTCTCTCTGAGATCTGCATGACCTCTCTTAATTACCCATCCTGTAAGCTTGTTAGAAGGGTGTCTGGACTTTGTTCTTGCATAAACCAGTAATCGCAAACTCAGAAGGCTGCAGGGACCAGAACAGGAATGGGAATGGGTAGAGTTGGCTGAGAATGAGGCAGATGGCATAAAGGAGATGAAACATAGTTGCTGAACTTAGATGTCAAAGTGAGAGAAGAGTGGAGGACACAAGACTGTGTGGCTAGTAGTGTCATGTTTGCCCCCCAAAAGAATCAGCTAGACTAAGTCCATGCTATGTGCTACCTTATGGGCATGACAGCCAATATTATCAGGTGTTGTAGTTTTCAAAATGCATTATCTGAGTGAATGTAGAACTTTTCAATTTTTCAATATTAATAACTAATTCTATAAAAAGCGGGTGCCAAATAAAGCCTCCATCTGTGGTCTGTATCATGAGCACCCAGATATACTATACCGTACTGCTCACACCCTTGTGTGGGATGTTACAATTTTGTCTTGTGTTTCACCAGAACACAGGCAACAAAGCAGGCTACATGAAATGCTATGCAATATATACACACCTCAAACAAAACATAAAAATATATGCCACCCAGCATTGTCTAAAACTGAAACTGAGATGAAAAGTACCAGAAAAAAATGCACATGCATAAAACAACAAAATATTCACACAACCCAACCTAAACAAGCACAAGATAAACATGCAATGGTCAATTACATGCAATTCAAGAGGGCTTCTATTCATGTAGCACAGTATGGGATATATGTTGCCATCAATGTACATGTGACATAGTTCATCAATAGTGGTAATGATCCTGGAAATAGAAAGGTAGAGACAAGATTTCAATCCAGAGGGTCTGGCACCAGTAAAAATCCTCACTTTTCTGCAAACTAGAAGAACCAAGTGCAAACAACACAAAAGATCTGATACACTTCATACTTTAAATATATGCACATGCAACTTATGTATGTTCATATATGTAACACACATGTATTATAATAAAAGCACATACATAGGTACTGTTCATGTATCTTCCTATTCATCATCTTTCTTTTTATTTCTTTCTTCTATTTGCCAACTTGTGTGGGTTTTTTTCACCTAGGAAGAGCTTAATGAATTAAGATTTGAAACCCAGTGAAAATTCTTTGGTAAAAAATAATTTATTTTATGTGCTAATGTTTATTGGGAAAACAAAGTAATCACTTTAAAGTAAATTTGTATATTCTTAGCATTTAGCAATTTTAAGAAATTTGGAGATTTAGAAAGTACATAATGGCTTAGTTAGGGGGATTTATTTTCTCCATTCAATTTCACTCCAAACTTGGTTCTGTGCAAATACATATTTCCTAATTAGCTTGATAGCATTTAAACACACAGATTGCTTCAAAATAACAACATGCATTCATATAGCTAGGTATTATGCAAACTTTGAAGTAATTTTTCCAGTCAATTGCTAAAGGATTTTCATATCAAAATAATTCTGGGGTTATCTTGAGCAAATGCATTACTTATAAATCTTGCTTGCTTTTGGAAGAGTGTAGCCTGTTTCTGAGAAACCATGAAAGAAGCCAAGTTGACAGAATTATGAGATGAACTAACAGAAAGGAACTAAATTCCTCCCTCCCCTTCCAGGCATCTTGAGGGATGGGAATGGAGAGGAACTGGATAGTAAAGGGGCGGGCTTTGTGGTAGTGTTTCATGACAGTTAGAATTAAAATTAAACTTTAACTTCTCCTTCCCCAGGGCAGAGAGGGCCCCAGTGCTATGAAAGAAATGCAGGGAGTCCAGTGCCCTTTTGGAAACACAGCCACCTTCACTATTCTATCCTTAAAGGATACAAAGGGCCCTCCCTGAGCATTGCCTCTGTTCCCCAAATCACATTTGTGTTTAAAGTGCAAACTGATATTTATGGATTGGAAAGCCTAATTCTTAATGATGTTTTCCTCCCTCTCTAGTTTATTAGGGAAATTTTGAAAAAATTCAAGCTCCTAATGCTACATATAGCAGGGCTCCGGAAAAACAGAAAACGTTCTTCCTGTCTAAGCAAGGGCTATCACTATATCTAAAGGTTTTCTTCTATACATCTTCACATATTTGCCATCTTATATATATGTAACTCACACAGTGCAGATGGTACACAGAAAAACAAAAGTGTACTCATTGTGCAAACAGATTCACTGAAGCATGGAGTTACCATACTTCATGGTAAATAACATGAATATTTTGTGTCTGGTGTGAAGACAAAAGCCTGGGTCAGGTTTGTTTCTTGTATCATTTCTAATCTTCACAGTACCTGTGAGGTTGACATGATCACACCTATCATATAGATGAGGAGACTGAGCTCCAAAGAATGGGTCGTTTTTGACCTCACTTTTTGTTTCTTTGAAATGGTAAGGCTCTTCTCACTCCACTCATCAGACAAGAAAGGCATGAAAGAGAAATTTTCTGTTCACAGAGATTGTGTCTTGTTCATTAGTCTACTTCAGAGTTTAAGCTTTGTTCCAAGGATGCTGATGCACAATATTCTGAGATATATGGCTTCCTTAGACAGGTTTGTTCTTCACAGAGCCTGAATCTGTCCACCACTAGTTCTCCTTTGAGCAGCTAATACAATTAACTCTCCCCACAGCAAGCACACTAGCTCTTCTTGTGGTCTTCATGTCTCCGGGAAGCTCTTGGGGAATACAATACAAACACTAATCTGAGGTGCATGTGAACTACTGGCACTTCTAGGGAACATGAACGGAGTTCAAAGATGTTTAATTAACACAGGAACCAAGCGTCACACAGAGCTATGGCCCTTTTTTTATTACAACTTACAAAAACCCATTCTTTGTCTAAAAATGTTCTTAAGTTTTATTTCTCTCCAAAATACTTTTCCTCTAAGGGAAATACAATAAGTTCACTGTCATTAAAAAAAACAAAAAACAAACAAACAAACAAACAAAACCCAAACTTGGTTGTGTCCTGAAATGTGAAGATGGGGAGACACAGTGAAGCCAAAACCCAGAGGTACAGGAACTTCCTTCCCAGTGAGCAATGTGGGGAGCTTAGAAACAGAATAGGAGATGTTTTGGGCTGACTCACAATGGGGACCAATAGAAACTAGACCCTCGGGGACTGGGCCCAGAGTAAGAGGAAGACAGTAGAGTTCTGGGGAGACAGCATTCTGAGAAGTCAGACAACCTCTGGAGAAGCAAAGCGAATTGTTTGGAATGATGTATTTAGTTGTTGATGTTAATTTTATTTGACTCAGAGTACACCAAAGGACCAAAAGGCCATCTTATTTTTGCAACTCACAGCATATACCCAGAGTGTAAATGAATAATAGAGAAGTGAAAAGAGGGAGTTATGTAGGGAACATAGAAACTCTAGCTGAGGGATTTATTCGGCTCCTGGATTGATTTGACTGGTTATCTAACCAGAAGGCCAAAGTACCTGTCGAGAACAACCCTCAATATGAGGAAGTAGTATACGTTTCCCAAAGCTTTAACAAAATGGACATTGTGTGCATGCTCAAGCTGGTCTGAAAGGAGAAAGAGGGAAGGACAGGGCCAGAGAAGATCGGACGGTTTCTCTGGTCCACATGTTTTGAGCATCTGTGGTGTCAGAGGCCTCATTTGCATTATTTTATTTTGTGCTTGTGCCCGTCCTTTGAACAGGATATGATTTCCATGGTACAGATGCAAAAACTGAGACTGACATAGGTTTAACAGTTTAACCAAAGCCACAGGGCTACTGCATGATAAAGCTGGGATTCAGGTTTGGTGACTTCTGGGCCTCAGATTCTTCCTGTCATGGTGTAATATACACTTTTTTATTCAACTTCTATTCCATGGATCCATTTAGTTGGAGGAGGCTGTCATCAAAAACTGGGGCACAGATTGAGTCCATCATGCTGCCTCCAGGAAGATCAGCACTGGAAACTTCCACTGCTCTGCTGTGTTCATCCTACGGACAAAAGGACCAAGGGAAAGCAGACAGCAGACAACCTCCCGTCTAACTGCAACATGAGAGGGCCCTGACCCCCAAACACAAACACAGCCAGCTCATCCAGCCAGGAGGGAGAATATTTCTTGAAGGTTAAAAAGGGAGATGGAAGTTCTTAGAATATCTAGCATAGAACACGGGAACTTGTTAGAATAAAATTTCAAGCTAAGAAAAAAATACAAAATTACTGTTTTCATAATACTAACAATAAAAAAATGGATCTTTCTGACATACAGGAAACAGCAGTTTCACCATACTGGCATATGGGTTAGAGTACAAGATTATTATGTTACTAGGTTGGGTGAGGAAGCCATGGGTCACAGACCAGATTGAGCAGCACTGTGCTATGTGAAATGCATGGCACATCGGTATGATTTTTCACATCCACAGCTGGGAAACTCTTGCCAGCCAGGAAACTATAGGGAGGGGTTATGAGGATGAATAGCCAGCCATATGGAAATAGAGAAAGAGACTAATGACCAGACTGCCAGAAAGAAACAAAGACTATGATGGTACCTGGGGCCTCATGGAGCCTTCTCCGTGAAGCCTGGGTTGAGAAGATCAGAGAAAGAAATGCTCAAACTCACAACAGTCAGCTTTCCTGTTTATTAATCCAACAAGGCTAGAGTAGAGACTGTCTTTAGAAACTGTGAAGAAAATGCAGCTATATGAATGAGTTGAAGCTATCACAGTTCCACGAATATCCTTGTGAGTAAAACCCATGTGGACCAATGCAACCAACATGATCAAAGTCTACGATAATCATACGCCTGGCACATTCCTGTTTATGACAAAGTCAGCAGCAGCTGCCCCACACATCCCTTCTTGATTGGCCCATGACAGTTTCTGGAGGACCAAGTAAAATGCTGAAACCGTGGTCTGACTATCTTCAGCTATAGCTGCCAAAAATCTGGAAGAGGTGTTAGAGAAAAGCAAGATGCCCACAAATCAAAATGTTATCAATGTTTTCTGTCTGTTATTATAATGTGAATGAAGAACTCTCTCCTTCATAACAGTTAAACTTGTAAAAGAAAGCCAAGTTTAAGAAAAGAAAGTAGAAAACAAGACTTGGAAATGGAAGTGATCATATTTCAGCTGCCCAAGAATACACAAATCCTCCACTTCTGGGTATATTTACAACTGGTATTAGCATGTCTTGAGAATTCAGTACTATTGCTAGTAACTGCACTGAACAAGATTTTATATATATATATATATATATATATATATATATATATGAATATATACATATATACATATATATGTGTGTATATATATATATATATATATATATATATATATATATACACAAGGAATACATTAAGTCGATTAAGAAGTTCAAGAGGATGGCTCCAGAGTCCCAAACGATGTCCCCCTTTCCCTTGGGTATTACACTGTGATGGCTTCACTTTCAGGCTAGCATCCCCACATGGCAACAGGACTAGATTCTACAACTCTCCCTTTTGTCTGAGTATCCATAGATGTGGATACACCTGCATCAAAAGTTCCATTGCCCTTATATGGATTTCATGCCCTCCTTTAGAATATTCATTAATCCAGGGAGAAAAAATTTTTTGATTGGCTCACATTCCTTGATCAAGAACTTTTGCATATAAGTAAGAATAAGTTATGTAAAGATTTAATCAGAGATGACTCCTTGTTTTTGCCTGGCTTATTTGTCAATAGTTAACTCTCTGATAGCCAAACTACTTCAGATGGTGCTTGGGACTTAATAACAAAATTGTCATTTGGTGATCTAGGAATAGGGAGGGTCAAATATCCTTCTATACCAGTTTGGAGGCACAGAGAATTTATAGTTATGAGATAACCAGTTGATAAGTTTCCTAGAATGCCTTGTGAAACTCTGTGAAGTTGACTTTGCACTGAGCTGAAGCAGTAAAATATACCTAGTGCTTTATAATTTGTTTCATTCACTGAAGAAAATGGTCAGGATTCAGGGTCAATGCCACTGTTTTTTCTCCAAGGCTCCTGTAAGAAGCACGTATCTCACCTGCGCAGGTAAAATGTAGGTGAGAAGTGTTTTAACCAATGGCTGCTGTTGATGGCTCTTTTGTGTTGCTTCCTCACAGGGCATCTACAGCTGCATTCATGGTGTGCACATCGAAGAAAAGAAGAAGTCTCCAGACTTCAATTTGACTGGGTCCCAAAGCAACATGCTAAAGCTCCTCCGTTCAGCCAAAAACATTTCCAACATGTCCAACATGAACTCTTCAAGAATGGACTCACCCAAAAGAACTGCCGACTTTATCCAAAGAGGCTCCCTCATAATGGATATGGTTTCAGACAAGGGGAATATGATATACGCAGACAACAGGTCCTTCCAGGGGAAAGATAGCATTTTTGGAGATAACATGAATGAACTTCAAACATTTGTGGCCAACAGGCACAAGGATAACCTCAATAACTATGTGTTCCAGGGACAGCATCCTCTTACCCTTAACGAGTCCAACCCTAACACAGTGGAGGTGACTGTGAGTACGGAATCCAAAGGGAACTCTAGACCCCGGCAGCTCTGGAAGAAATCCATGGAGTCTCTACGCCAAGATTCTCTGAGCCAGAATCCAGTGTCCCAGAGGGATGAGGGGACAGTAGAGAACAGGACCCATTCCTTAAAGAGCCCCAGGTACCTTCCAGAAGAGGTGGCTCATTCTGATATTTCAGAAACTTCAAGTCGGGCCACATGCCACAGGGAACCTGACAACAATAAGAACCATAAAACCAAGGACAACTTTAAAAGATCAATGGCCTCCAAGTACCCCAAGGACTGCAGCGAGGTTGAACGCACCTACCTGAAAACCAAAGCCAGCTCTCCCAGGGACAAGATCTACACCATCGATGGTGAGAAAGAACCCAGTTTCCACTTAGATCCTCCCCAGTTTGTTGAAAATATATCCCTCCAGGAGAACGTAGGCTTCCCAGATCCCTACCAGGATCATGGTGAGAATTTCCGCAAGGGGGACTCCACACTGCCTGTGAACAGGAACCCCCTGCATAATGAAGATGGGCTTCCCAACAATGACCAGTACAAGCTCTATGCCAAGCACTTCACCTTGAAAGACAAGGGTTCTCCTCACAGCGAAGGTAGTTACCGGCAGAACTCCACACACTGCCGAAGCTGCCTTTCTAACCTGCCCACCTACTCTGGCCACTTCACCATGAGGTCTCCCTTCAAGTGTGATGCCTGCCTGAGGATGGGAAACCTCTATGATATCGATGAAGACCAGATGCTCCAGGAAACAGGGAACCCAGCTAGCCAGGAGGGGATCTACCAGCAAGATTGGGCACAGAACAATACACTCCAGTTCCAGAAGAATAAGCTAAGGATTAGCCGTCAGCATTCCTATGATAATATCCTTGACAAACCCAGGGAGATAGACCTCAGCAAGCCTTCCCGGAGCATAAGCCTCAAGGACAGGGAGAGGCTCCTAGAGGGCAACTTATATGGGAGCCTGTTTAGTGTCCCTGCAAGCAAACTCTCGGGGAACAAAAGCTCCCTTTTCCCCCAAGGTCTGGAGGACAGCAAGAGGAGCAAGTCTCTCTTGCCAGACCACACCTCTGATAATCCTTTCCTTCACTCCTACAGGGATGATCAACGCTTAGTTATTGGGAGATGCCCCTCGGACCCTTATAAACACTCCCTGCCATCACAAGCAGTGAATGACAGCTACCTTCGATCGTCCTTGAGGTCAACAGCATCATACTGTTCTAGGGACAGTCGGGGCCACAGTGATGTGTATATTTCGGAGCATGTTATGCCTTATGCTGCAAATAAGAATAATATGTACTCTACCCCCAGGGTTTTAAATTCCTGCAGCAATAGACGTGTGTACAAGAAAATGCCTAGTATTGAATCTGACGTTTAAAATCTTCCATTAATGTTTTATCTATAGGGAAACATATGTAATAGCCAACGTTCTGGAGGGTAGATGTTGGATGTCCAATAGTGCCCTGCTCTTAGGAAGAGGATTTAGAGAGGTATTTTTTGTTGGTTCTTTTGCACATGGCTCCATGCCATAATCTTCCACTCAAGGAGTCTTATGAGGTTTGTGCTAAGTGTGACAGATACAAGATAGGTGAGTTCTTAACCAAAAACAAATACATAAATAAGGGCAAATCTCTAGGACATGCCTACTAGGTATGTTGGCAATAATGATGCACTAGATGCTGATGGTGATGTTATGATTTCCTATATTCCAAATTCCATTAAGATCAGTCCACCATATAATTTCTTCATCAGAAATGCCTAATGGTTCTCTAATACAGGATAAGCAATATGGTATGCATGTAAATCTGACACAGACAATAAAACCGTTAAGAATGCATCTGCGCTGTAGTGAGATTGACATGTGCAAGAGATTAGGAAGTTCGACTTGTTAGCTTTATTGTTATGCCTTCCATTCACAGCCCAGGCCCAACCCCAAGAAATCCAGAATAGCAAATCAATGTGTTCGTGGTACCTGTATTACCTTCATTATAGTTCATTCCCAAGACACAGCTGGAACAAAAAGCCAGAGACTCTCAGGCAGAGAGCTACAAGAATCTCTTTGGATGTCGATGTGTGTGTTTCTTTCACTTTTGGCTTTGATGGTCTTGTTCAGAGCTGCATAAACTAACACATTTATGTCTTTGATGTCTAAGTGTGGATCTTCTGTCTATGACACAGTGGCCATTGTAGTCTATCCTGAAGACTCCTCTGTATGTAAGTTTGCATTTTCTCCCTTCTGGTGATGACTCAGGGTTGTATAGTATCTGTTACCTCGTTTTTCCCAGAGTAACCATAACTTGTTCAGTTCCTGAACAGCCATGATGGCGTCTAATTAGCTGTGTGTTGCTCTTTGCAGAGTTGTTAATGTGGTGACATGTGCCAACAGCCATGTGTACTGTGATTTGTAAGAAGTACCATGCCATCTGTCTGCCCAAGGCTAACATGGTTCTTTAGGTTTAGCTCCCTTAACGTTATGAAACTCTCTTGGACACTCATTGCCACCCAGCCTCCTCATATCAAAGACCCTCAAACGGTGAAGCACTCATGCACCTATCCTGAGCATCCTCCAAACTCTGGAGAAGCTTAGTGAAACAAGTGATTTTTCCTCTTCTGAAATATTCTTTCTGTGGGAAGAAACTACTTCACCAGCACCAACAAATATATAAAGAATTCTCAATGCATTTATCATTTCTGAACTACTTGAACCATCCCGTTCTTATTCTACTCAAATCTGTGCATATATGGTATGGATTATACTTATTTAAAACAGTCAGAAAAGAGGGGGAAGGTTTAGGAATGGTAAGCTTCTTAGCATAGCACCTTCCTGTAGCAAAGTGTCAATAAAAAGTTAGTTGTTACTAGTTATTAAGCTTTTTCAGACAAGAATTTTCTAGTTTAAAAAGTGAATGCCATAAAACCAACAAACAATACTAATCAAGTATTTTATATGGTTCCGTTCCATTAATTGGTATAGTTTAATTAATATTCTTGAAATAATTAGGCTAACTACCCATCAAGTTTTGTAGAAGACCTCAGTCTGTTTGGGGGCATCAGCAGAGGCCCTGAGCTCATGTGAGCGAGCTTGGTCATTTTCCAGTTTGTTTCTTGCATTTTGTTTTGAATTCTTGGAGAAAGACAAAATGGCAGGCTGGACAATTATGTTGTTTCTTTTCCTCATGTGTATTCTGTTTTGTAAGTAGTATTTTCCTGTAAGTGGGTAAGTGCCAGAGATGATTTTCTTAGCGCTCGAGAATGCCTGTATCTTTGAAAAAGTGCACCCAACCTACAATATTTCTATAGTGATGAAAAGTGGCTGCAATAAGTTTGAGTGTCCATGGTGGAACGGCAAAGGGAAGCAAGAGGAGGGAACATCTTTCAATTATCCTTGAAAAGCAGAAAGGATTGAGGTGACGCTGGTGACCAATGTACTTAAAAATGACATTATTTCTTGTATACTTTCCCTTTGCTGCTCCAAGACCCAGCAGTGGAAAATGCTGGATTTATGGACCTTAAACAGCCACTCCAACTTCTGATCTTAAATGTAGGTCTCTTGGATTGTATATTTTTTGAGCACTTTCTGCCTTTGCCTTCCCATTATATTCAGATCTGCATTTGCCCTGCTAAGATAAGCCCCCTGTCCTCACAAGACTAGCATGTCTTAACATGAAATAAATTAAAAAATCTCCCCTGGATACAGAGAAATGATGTGTGCTCAATCCAGAGGCTTTCTGCCTTCCTCTGATGTCCTCAAAGACAAGAGGTTTGCCAAGTGCCACAACATGTCTAAGGAGAGAGCACTTACCCTAGCATTGACTCCAAACATCCAAAAGCCCACTAATTCTTCCACTATTAACTTCATAAGTATCTGGATAAAGAATTAAAAATGTGAGTTTTGGAAGAACTAAAAGCAATATAGTAGAAAAACACACTTCTTTCAGTAAAGCACTGATTCTTAAATGTGACAATTTTGAAAAAGAAAATCAGAGTCATTTTCCAAGTAAAATACAATGATGTGGTGCTATTCAAAGCTAATTCAAATCAGTTGGTTTTTGGAAAAAGAATATCCAAAATATAACATTCACTGGTAAAAGGCATCTATGGTAAAGAAGGTAAAGAAATAATTATAGAACCCTAAATTATGGGCCCATTACAAAGATTCTTGTGATATATCATAGTTTTGAGATCTTAGATTTGATGCCAAGAGGCAAGAATCTTTGAACTCAAATGCTTGAGTTTTACTTGGCTTAAGTCAAGGTTGCATCTATAATGTTATTTCTCTAATAAATGGTTTCCCCACTTGGGAAAGATTCACCTTCTCAAAAGTGCCATCCCTAGATAGGCATCCCTGGATGCAGCAGCCAAGTTTCTGTCCATGGGTAACAGTGCGCACATGCAACATATTAACGTACTCTGTGGAAGGGAGGCTACCAGAGCATAAAGTCTGGGGAATCTTAATGTTCTGGAAAATAGTTTGCATCCTCCTTAAACCTGCTAGTTCTTAGGGCACAACTGGGTTCATTATTCCAAGTGGGCAAGTCTTCAGTGAATCTATCTTCCGGCCAGGGAGGTTTCCATGAGAATTGAGGGGTTGTAATCTCACCATTCACAGTTGTGTGTCCTCTGCAAAGTTTCTTTCCATTTTTTCAGGTCACACTGTGACTGTCTTGTGGCTTGTTCTTGGGTTTCTCTTCCCTGTTTCATGGAGTGCCTAAGAGATCTTAATACTTAGCTTTTCTGATGAAAGCATTGAAATTCACCCATTGCAGCAAAATCTGTCAAATAAATTCACAGTTATTTTCTGGAGGAAAAAAAGAAAACTACACCTTGTTTACAAATGAAATAGTTTTGTTTAAATGGGACTTTAGCCAAGGCAGTTAATTAGTCAAAAGATCCATGGTAATCACACAGTCACACATTGTTTATTCTATTTGATATGTCTACTACTGATGTGTATTTAATATTCTGTATCCTTCTCAGGAAATGACAAATGCCCTGAATTCTTTGCAAATAGAATTGCTAATGAGAAAGAAAAAGAAAGTTGGTGTTAATTAAATGGTGATTAAAAATTTATCTCCTTTAAACCTAAAAAATGCAGCTTTAATAATCGGTTGTCATATAAATAAATACCTTGCACTGAAGTCCCTTGCGGTTTAAGACCTAGATAAATACTAATTTTTTTTTTTTTTGTCTTTTTCGTTTTTATCGGTACCAGGGATCGAACTCACGACTGCCTGCTTGCAAGGCAGGTGCTTATGCCGCTGAGCTAAATCCCCAGCCCCGATAAATACTAATTTGAGGAACCTAGATATCTTTCAGAGGAGGTGAATACACTCGTTAGCATTATGCACATTCCTGTACTGTTTCTTTGTGCATAGCTGTTGTGCATGAATCCTTGGGAGGGGACAGGAGTTGTTTCCCAAAGGGAGCTTGTTTGCATTACCACTATAGTAGATATAAATGGATTTAAGAAAAAGAATTTCAATAGGTGGAAGCCAAATGCATTGGCTGATATTTCATACAAGTTAAGAGTTCTATGTAAATGTGATTTTCCTTTCAAAAGCAGTGTTTATTTTCACTTGAGTCAAAGTTAGGCTTCTCTGATAACCCATCTTCCTTTGGAAAACAACAGTTGAATGTGCTTATAGAGAGATTATGTGGGGTCTATACTTGAAAAGTTCTCCCAGTATGCATCCTACCCTTCCCATTCCATTCCTTTATATTGTACTGTTTTCATGACTAATTGTTTCAGATGAGGTCAGCTTGCCACCTGATACAGATCAAAAATGATCAAATGCACTTATCCTATGAATATAGATGCTTGTGTACACATGTATATAATATACATGCTTGATTTCTAAAATTCACACATAAGTGTATTATCCAAATAAAGTTGTACATATTGTAAAGTTTACATTTAAAAATTAAGTGGCAATGATCGTATTGACACATGGAAAACCCATTCTGGTTACTTTGATGGTTTTTGTGGAGAGGACGCTATATTTTTAAAATTTCAGTTTTAGGGAAGATAACAGGGCCCAAGTAGGATTTGGGCATTGGTTTTCTTGAGCCCTTACAAAAAAGGATCTGGGTGAAGGGTATGGACTATATGCTGCTCACATTCACTTTTGAAGACAATACTAATAAGGACTTTAGTGTGATTTCTGTAAGCCCACCAAAAGGCACAGATTTCCTATGTAAAATTCTTTATCCTCTTCTCCACTACTGTATACATTTTCTGTTCCCAAAAGCATTCTCAGGCTAGTATCAGCCCAGGTGCCTGCCCCAGAGCATCTTAGCAAAACAGAACTTACACCAAGATTTAGGGGAAATGTAAGAGAGATGAGAAAATGAAGTCTGTAAAGTGACAGTAATTTGTAGGAGGTCATGAAGTCGGAGAACATTAAAGATGGGCTGACACCCAAGACTTTGTGGTTGATTTCTTACCATGGTAGCTGTTTCTTGGTTTCTTTCAGGAGGACATTTCTGAATGGCTGCAGGATGAGTCAGAGAGATCCGCTGACCTGACTTTCTTTGCCTCTTAGTCCTGTACGGACCCAGGGATGCCTCTTTGAATTCAGTTTCTCTTTAATGTCTTTCATAATCTCTTCTTGTCTCAGAGTCTCAGAAGGAAAAACTGTTTTTATCAACTCTTCTCCTGGGAAAGAACAAGAGACAGGCTATAGATTGAAATCTCAAACCAAAGATGAGATCTGGCCACAGTCACTGAAATAACAGTTGTATTTCCCAGGCAGCAAGGTTGAGCCAAGTGTCTTGATCAGGTAATTGCACTTACCTGACTGCCCACTCTTTTTTGAAATCCAGTTTGGGGTTAGGAATTTGTAAAGTGAGTAGAAAATATATCGTTTCTTCCTGTAAGGAGTATATGATTTAGAAATTTAATTCCCTAATATAGAAGATAACTAAAGACCATAAAAGCTAAACAAACTAAATGGTGAAAATATTTAGTGAGCAATGAAATTGTTTCCAGGAAATAAATGTCAATCTGATTCCATAATCAAACCTAGGAAATAAAATAACCAGACCTTTTGGTAACTCCCCGGACCTTAATGTAACTCTGAAGAATATAGCTGACACTTGTAAAGATGGCTGATTTATTTGAACCTTAGAAAGCTATTTGGGGAGTGCAAAAGCTGCCAAATAGTACAACAAACTTTCTCTTCCGAAATTTTGCAGGTATAGGTATGGTTTCAATCAGTTCTCTAAACTTTGCCAAATCCTGCTTCCTCTTGGATCTTCTTTATGACACGTACTTCAAAAAAAAAAGGTTGAAAAAAATTCCTGAAAGGTTTAGAAAATAGACCAGGATGTAAAAAGACAAAATATTTCCCCAAATTCTTTTTGCTTTGCTTTATTTTTGACATGTAAAGAGCACTTTCAATAGTCCAGGGCATGGGTGTTTGGGGTTGGGGTGAGGGTGGGGGAATAGAGAAAAGTCTTTACTGAGTCCTAAGTGCCTGCTGTTGTGACTGGTGGGAGCGAGTATCAGGTTCCCTACAGAGAAAATGGGACAAAGAGTGACTAAAGGAACCTAGGAGAACTAAACTAAAGGATCTTCAGGAGAGATGGTGGAGGGAGACGGTGGAGAGGAAGATTTTTCACTCTGACCATCCCATTCTCGGTACCACTGGAATGTTATATTTTCTGCTCATCACAAGTATATTCCACATATCAACTCCTGAGTCTGAAAATATAGAAAAATATATCTACATTGAGTACAAATTAGCTCGGAATAGGATCCTCAGTATAATAAGATATAAATATTATTGCTCCCATTTTACAGATAAGGAAACTGAGGTTTTAGTACTCGGCCTCATCAGAAATAAGCTATTAAATTTCTAACCTTTGACGTATTCTTGAAGTGCCTGATCTCCTCCAGAGAGGTCAGAAAAGAGAGTGATAAGGAGGGAGGAGGGAAGGGAGAGAGAAAGAGACAGACAGAAAGAGAGAGAGAGAGAGAGAGAGAGAGAGAGAGAGAGAGAGAGAGAGAGAGAGAGATTATTTAGAGGTTCCTGGGCTTTCTCTTGAGTGCCAGCATCTATGATGAGTAGGTTTGGCATTGTCTTGCCCCTGTTATCGGATCCGGGATGTGGAAGAACACTCCTGGGGCCTCACCCCTGTTCACAGTCCCCTCAGAGATGTGAATGTTGCTAGCGTCTCTCCTTCTTATGCTTGCACTCAGCAATTTTTTATGTGCTTCCTGGGGTGTTATTTTCTCTACTTAGCATGTGCCTAATCTTAAATATCTCTTTCCTAATCTCTCTTCTTTTTATCAGCTGAAATCAGGGCTAATTCCATTAAGCATGTGTACATAGTATACTCTCCTGTGAGTAGGGACGTGCACACACTCATATATATGCACACACACACTGCCTTGTGGCCCTCCATTAAAGCTCTCCTAAACATTATGACCCATTTTTAAACAGGTGATGTCATTTGCAAGTTGACTGTCCCTCTTTATTTCATCTATATGTTTGCTTCTCTTTACCAGGCAGACAGAATGAGATTCAGAGGTGGAACAGAGAGTAGAGAACTGAATTTTTCACAAATGACTGAGAGCATTAAGGTGGTCACAGTAGCCGAGGGCCAATTCTTAAAATGTTGTTGTTATTTACTTTCTTGAATTGTTCTATTTTTTGAATTGCTTTAGAAATGCTTTCCTGGCCATAAACATAAGGATAACTGTTCGATCACCAAATGGTTGTTCATGTTGCCATTAAAGGGTTGAAATGGAATATTTCTACTGGGCTTCCTGGAACTCCAGCATGACATAGTGTTACATGCATGCTGTAGGCAAGGTCCCTAAGCACACACATGCCTTTTATTTGCATCCTCTTCCTCCGGTGTTCTAAGCCACACTTTTTTTTCCTGGCTTTTATATATACTATAAGGTGGAACACATTAGCCCATTTTATAGATGAGAAAACTGAGCTAGGATTGGAAGGGATGGTTTTCTGAGTGGCTCCATGGTTTAGTCCTGGAGGATTGCTAATCATAAAGCAAGAACTTGTGTCCTAGTCTCCGAGAAAGATTCTCCAGTCATTCTCATCTTTCAAGATGGCAGCAACAAACCTATTCAGACAGAAAGTATATTATTATTTAATAGCTATTTTGAGATCCTGTTGTCGTGTCTGTAACTGTGTGACAATATTCTCCCAGGGATGTTGAACTATGCAGAACGTAGAGCATCCCAAAGAATAATTTAGCCAATAGTGTGTCTTCTTTGGAGACATAGTTCTGAGTATGCAATCCTCTAGGGAACCAGAACCAAACTGTTTAAAATGGAGTCATTCCTCAGATTAACTTCCTCAAGTAAGGTGTCAGCAGTCAGCAGCAACAAACAAAACGAAGATTATCACTTATAAATCCCTTTTATGTGCCATGTCAGGGGAATGATGAGTTTGCGTTTTTGTAATCATGAACATTCTTCATTAGCAGCAGCCCAGGTCATAACCTCTTCCACTTAATTCCCTTTTACACCTTTGGGAAGGATTGAAGATGAGCCTTCCAAAGGATATTAGCATAATGCATAGCCAGTACCATGGCTACCTTTTAAATTAATAAGGTTAATTGTTCAGCACCAAACATAAATTTGTCTTTGGCATTTAAAATGCTTTGCATTGATCTGACATTTCACTGTTTCAAGCTCTTAAAGGGCTCAAATCAAAGACTATTGATAATTGAGCAAATAGTGAAGGTCCACAAACATAAAAACACAGTTTGACAACAAAAAACAATCACAGCCTTTTGAGTCTAGTGTATGTTTTTACATTAGCCATCTAAGACTTATTGAATTATTGTTATTCACAGCTAAGCTAATTCAAGCGAATGAAAGGTATTGACATTTTAAGCCTGTTTCGTTTTTTTCTTAAATCTTAAGTTTATTAGGTTTGTAGATACAGCTTTGAGCCACAAACAGTAGGGAAATGTTCGAGTTTAGAAACAGAAGATTCTGAGTACTATTTTAGGAAGAATCCAAGGGGTTGTGTGATGGATTCAGGAAGATGCAAGTATAACATTCATGTTCCCGAATTTTCCATGAGGAAGGATGTCAATTGCTCATTTTTTTCAAATAAAATAGCAGGTCAAGAATCATATTTTCATTAAAAAATGCAATCACTGCTCAATATAGCTAGATGTGGCTGAGATGTTTTCTAAGCCTGAGGGTCCTCGAGGATTGTTTTAACCAGTTTTTTTTTTAAACTACAAGTGCCAATTTTGTTCATTCCCCTGCTAAAACAAATTTAAAAGCATACACTTGCCAAGTTAATTAGTAGAATTTGTCATAGTTTATATCACACTGGAATGTTTCTATGCATAGTATATATATATATATATATATATATATATATATATATATTCAAACTGAGTACTAAGAATGAATTAAGTGAATGAATTAGTGGCTTGAATAAGAAGTCGATTGTAAAATTATAAATAATGGTCTCCTCAGACAGAAAAAGGGGGTAAACTATTCATTTCTTCCCTATGCTGTGAAACATACTTCATAATATACAAGCTGGTCATTTCCCACAAATGTTACTGAATTAAACAGCTTATATGCAAAGGGTTTATGTCTGAGTCCACTTTTAACCCATTAAGGGATGAGATTGAACTCATATGCAGAGGGTTTCCACTCACAGCTACATTCTAACACTGTCTAAAATACATCCAAACTGGCTTGATCTCTTGTATGGTGGAGCCCAAAGCAAGTTGTGTGCTCCACTCACTGGTCTTCACTTAGGAGAAGATCTTCACGTACCAATCGCAGCAGTTTATATCTGTCATGTTTTAATCCACTGCATGAGGAGTGCTAATTACTGTATTAAATAATTCCAAGCATAGCTACAAAATTACACGTTTGCTTAACACCTTTCTATGATAGAGGAAGTATATACTATGGTTGTCTTCTTGTAGTACGTCTTTTAATTTTGTTCAATGTGTTATCAACTGTTTTAAGGAATGGGGTTTGAAATGTGTGTGCAAACTGAAATGTACATAACTCCTGAGGCAACAGAAGTGCCCGGTCATATGGTGTAAAAATGTAAATACAGGAAAATTTCATTTTTCTAATAAAGATAATTTCTGCCATTGATATGAAAATGAGAAATAGAGTTGTGGTCTTTGTTGTTGCTGCGGCTGTTGTGGGCATTTCTAATATTTCAGAAAGCTTATTTTTGGCCCAAAAGGGAAATGCAATGGTACTCTGGTTTGATAACTTCATTTGCTTTACCATTGTGGCGAAAATGACTTATGTTTGTGTTTCTTATGGGGAAGATGGCTGTTGTTCAGTTTGTCACTTAATGCAAAGTTTTCAAACAGAAGCAAAATTTTGCATGTTTCTTTTGTTTGTGAACTGAACTGTTTGCAAATTGAGCATTTTCCCCACTTTGTGCAATGGGGGAGTAAATAGGGAGGCCTGGGACTGAGGGGAATTCAGGTATCAGCTTGTTCAGTGTCCCTTAATTGGATGCCACCTTCCTGTGCAACTGCTTGCAGACTTGTCGTGGTTACTTTTCTCTTATTGCTGGACAAAAACACCCAACACTCAAAACGAAGGAAAGAAAGGTTTATTTAGCTCACTGCAGAAGTTTCAGTCCATAATCAGTTGGCTCCAAGGTAGGGTGGCATGAAGGGCAACACTTCAAGGCAGCAGCCAGAGCAGAAAGAGAAAAAGAAATCCCTTTTCCTCCCTTATATTGTACTCAGGCCACTTCCCCTTCTCCAGGGTGGGTTGAGCACTGACAAAATCTCTGTGCCCTCCTCTTGCACAGGATGAGGATATTTACAAAGTAAGGACCCCATCTCCCTGCCCAGTCTCTTGGTTAAGCTTCTAAACTCCTCAGGTTGACACAATGTATCAACCGTAACACAGACTTGAACTTGATGATGCTGAATCTCCTCAAGAATCATCCTTGTCTGTGTGACTTAGAGAAGACCACGGTGGAAACAAAGAGGAAAATGAGGGAAGATTAGGAAGAGGTGATGGGGTTTTTAATCCCTCACTCAGAGTACAACCTTAATTACCACAATGTGAGGCCATTCTTCTGAGAGAAAATAATGCATCGTGGCACAAGAGCCTCAATTTCCACTGGTGTTCCGGAACCAGTTTGTGAAGCGTGTACTGTATATCAATCACTGTGGACTCAGGGCACAAACATTAGAATTCACAGGGTGTGGCCGAAACAAAAGTGGAGCTCACATCACATACAAGTCCAGACTCCGGCACCTACAAGTCTCCCAGCTTACTGAGAAGCTTGGAGAAAGTGGAAAATAATCAAGTCTCTCTGAAATCTGTTCACAGGATACACACTTAATCCGTACCAGATCCTGCTCATTGGGAGATGATTGTTTTGTGGTAATGGAATCTTTGAGGATCTTTAAGAAAATGGTGGCATCCAACAGAAGCTCTTTACTTGGGGCTAAGCTGGTTTGAGTAGGGCAGGGACATTGCTATCCAAGTGCTCTCATGTAGCAGCTGAGCCCCAGGACCTTCTAGGATAAATGGCAGCTGCTCTTGTCTGAAGAACTTGGTGATTTCTCTCCACTTTGGTAAGGTAGACCCTCAGCTCTGAGGCAGACCTGAGTCCTCCAGAAGACTATTTACTTGCTCTGACCTAGTAAAATGAAGTGGAAATAATCTTGAGGAGTGAACTCTCATTGACACATTTTCTTTTTGGCCGTGATGAAATCAGGAATGGAGCAGATTGTTTGCTCCTCCATGGTGGCAAATAACTTCTGCTCATGGAAATATTTGATTTGGGAGAATTTGCCTGGGACAGAGGTGGAACTTCTAGAAACACTAATATATAGGAATATCAAAAAAGATCAGAACTAAGTTCAGATGTGTAACAATCCATCATGGTCTCCAATGAAATGGTGGTAACTCTAGTCTCAAAGATCTCAAAATCTTTCTCCTTGTTCAGGTGCATCAGACCTTCAAATGAGTGGATGGTGTTACAGAGGGTATAGGATAATAAGAGATGCCTTGAATTCTGGAGCCCCTTTCTTGCATTTCTACCTGGTTTCAGCTTTTTTCTTCTCTCTTTACAGATGAGAAAATTAAAACTAGGAGAAAGGGAATATATCATTCTGGTTCACACAGCATTTTGCAGTGAAGATTTCACAACTGAATCTGGCATGAGGGACCGAGATGGGTATAAGACATCAGCATTTCTACAGCACTTGCTGTGAATACACCCTAGACTTTGAGCCACTTTCACAAACGTCAGGTTATTAAATCCCTCCATCCATTAGAAAATGAATACCTGAGATGCTTTTCCAATATACCACACTTCAGATTACAACATGGGTGTGCAGCATGGGGTCAACAGACCAGTTATGTTGTAAAACTACATCATCATGAACAACACAATGTTTCTTGAGTTCAAAAATAATTAACCTGTAACATGTGGAGGATTGTTGGCTTCAAAACAACACGACATTTTTGTGACACTTTCTGCTGCAAAACAACCTTATGACAAGGTTATATCACTTTTTTTTCTGTATTGGGAATTGAACTCAAGGCCTTGCACTGAGCTACACGCTCGGCTTTCTTTTTAATTTTGTTTGATCTCACTAAATTGCCCAAGTTGGACTCAAACTTGAGATCCTCCTGCTTCTGCCTCATGAGTAGCTGGGATTACGAGTGAGTACCACCATACCCAGCTATATTGCTATTTTTAATTACCACCACTTAACAGATGAGAAGACTGAGACCTAAAGAAAGAAGTGCCTTGTTTCCAATCACTGAGTTGATAGCTATCAGAGGCAGGAGGACTCAAACCCAAATGTACTAACTCTACACCTTAAAATCTGACAGTGCAGCACTCTCTCCAAAGAAAGGACAAATGTTTCCCTTTTGTTTGCATTATTCCATCTTCTGGGCTCCCCTCAACCCCAGCCTTTTCTTCAATGTAGCTGAAGATGGGATATTTCCAACACATTTCCCATTAACTGAAGTGGCACTAAATACCATCATTGCTATGAAACTAATCATCAGTTTATAGGATGCCTTTACATCCATGTAGCTCCATTAGGGGCATAATTATTTCCTAATGAGGAGGCTATTTGTACCTCAGGCTTGGGACGTTGGCTTCTGCCAGTGATGTGGCTCTCTGGTATGGTTCACTTATTTTCTTTCCCCCCAAGATTCTGCTGGCTGAAGCCTAATGAATAGACAGCTGAGCAAACTTAATTAACAGACAGTTCAGGTCCTGTGAGAGCAAAAAACTCTCAGTTGCCAGTCAAATTTGCAGTAAGTCCAAGGATAAAACCAAAAATGTTGTCTTGTGGAAGACCCTGTAATCTTGTGTTAGTAATGGAGTAATTGGGGTCATTTATATTCTTTTCTGAGAGTTCTGAAAAAAAAAATCATCAATGTTCATTAAATTAACCCATCTTTATAGAGGGTCCTTTAAAAACTGTTTAGAGCACTCCTCAGTAGCAGAGATTATAACCCCCATTTTACATATAAGGAAACCAAAGCCAGAGAGTTGAAGTGACTTCCTTAAATTTGTGCACTGAATGGTCACGGTGAAAATGGGGTGAGTGTATCCCACATCCCATGATCCACACCCATAACTTTTCATATCTACTGCCGTGACCACTGCTACCTAAAATCTATTGGCATGCAGGCAAGGAGACTCAGTGTTCAAAAGCTAATTTTAAATAAGCAGCAAAAACAGGAGACAGGAATTCTGGGTTCTCAGCCACATCCTTGTTGTGTCATCCTTACCAAGTATCTCTTATTCTGAGAGCTGACTTCTCTTAGCTTTCTCATATGTATCAATGAAAGGAAATTTATTATTTCCAGTTCTGCCTCCTTCACAGGACTGTAAAGAGACATTTTTAACTATACAAAAGATAGTATATATTTTTTAGTTTTGTACTTTTTTTAGCTAAAAAGTAAAACTTAAGAACGGTACTCAGATAAGGGACACATTAAGAAACAAATGACTTTGGAAATAGGTGGAAGCCTAGGCTACTTGACTTCAGCTTCTCCTTAGAGTTACAAGTGACCCATGAATTAAAAATGATATAGCAAGGGTTTTTCTAAAGGAAGCAGATTTTTAAAAAGTCCCCGTGCTTTGCTTCTGCCTTTCCAGAGTCCTGAAATTCCAGAGAATTGTGTGCAAACTGTCTGTACTACTCCCTTGAGGAAATAGACAAAGAAAAGACCGAATGTATATATATTATTTTATGCTCTTGGATTTTCTGAGATGCTGAAAGTTCTGGGGAGTGTGTGCAAAGCCTTCTGCACACTGGCTCAGTAAAACCTTTGATGCAGCTTGCCTGCTAGCAGAAGCCAGAAGCAGTCCATGCTGTGACTTTCCATTAGAAATTCTTTAACTTACCTTGAAGAAGTATCCAACTCATCCCCACTTCCCCCACCGGCATCCAGAGCATTTCAGAAATTTGCTCTTTCTTTCTCTTGCTGTCTCTGCTCTTTTCTGGGGAAGAAACAGCAACTTGACTCTTCTTAACTCAGCAGTACTGCAGGCAGCCCTGACTTCTAAAAGATAGCCCCCTCCCATTTCATTCTTCTCTAAGTGGGTAGGAAATCTCAGCCACAATATCAGAGCCTGAGTGATGGCGCTGTTGGCATTGTATAGAAGCACCATTCTTATTGAGTTTGATTGACAAAGACCTCTAACGAAAGCAGGAGCCAAAGAAGAGGAAGGACCAGAAAGTGATGAAATAAAGAGGGTGCCACCCCTCATCAGAAACACCCAGTTCACACTCCATCTCCTCTATTTCCAAACTCAGTGAGTAAGGACCACATAAACTTCCCAATTGGAAAATAGTAAAAGTGCAATGGCTCAAGAAGATCTGTGCTTGGAGTAATGTAAAGACATCAGGGCCCAGACTGGCCCATAGAACTAGAACATATTTTATTGGTTTCAGTCAAGTTACTGTTTCCTATTTCTGGTACACAACACCTAACACCTGCAATTTAAAATGGAAGTTTAATTTAGCTCATGGTTTCAAAGGTTTCGGTCTATAATCAGCTGGTTCCAAGGCATAAAAGTCATGGTGGAAGGATGTGATGGAGCAAAGATGTTTAGTCCATGGCAGCTGAGGAGCAGAGTAGGGAGGAAGGGATGAGAAGCCATATACAGTACTGAAGGTCGTGCCTCCATGACCTGCCCAGACACACCCAGAAGCACACTTTACTAATCTCTAGTTGGCTCTCAAACCAATCAGGCTGATGCAATGAAGCTTAAGCACCACAAATGCCAGAAAAATAGGCAACATCATGTGATAGGAGCCAATGCATTGCAATCAGCACACTACAAGTCTTTATAACCCTGGATAACCAAATCCACACTTCTGTGTGAAATCACAAATCAGATTCTGTGGCTTTCCTAATGCTCTCCTACCATTTTAACAACCCACATTTCATCAGAAGTTGCAGGAAGAATAGTTTAGAGGATGAAGTATGGGCATTTGTATTGCCAGCAGCACTAGAAAAGCCTTCCATTGGCTTTGGACACTTCAGTGTTTGGCTATAAAATATAAAATTCAGAGTCCATATCTCACATTTATTCATCAACAATAGGTTAAGCGAAAGAAAAAAAGAAAAATCACAGTTGCATAGTTTCATCTGGCTACCAAATATTTTTGAAGGCACTGCCAAAGCCAACATATTAAAAATAAAGTCTATCCTTCTCCCCCTTTAAATAAGACCATCTCTTCTTAATAGGTTTTCCTTTCTTGGAACAAGGCATTCTCAGCCCTCTATTTTGAGACCAAGGTCCTGACAGTCACATTGACTTTCCCTTCCTTCCTCTCCCCAGCTTTGGCTAATTTTCCACCTGGATCCTCCTACACGCCTCTGTTCATTATCCTCACACCTGATTTCTATTTGATTTGCTCTTACATTAATTATTGTGACATACTAATAACAGGCCTTCCTGCTTCTGATTTTGACTCACCTTTAAGTCTTTTCATACATTTGATCAAGTGATGGTTCTAAAATAAAATTCTGACCATGTCATTCTTCAGCTGGAAGCCTTTTGATAGCTCCCTGGTACCTGGAGGAAGAGTAAACACCAACTCTTTGACATGCTAGGCAACGCCTGGTTTGTGCTTTCTAATTCTCATTTTCTGGCCTCCTCTCCCAATACGCCTTGTGCAAATATGCCAGTCCAGCCGTAACAAACCTTCATCTTCCAAATGAGACCACCAAAATATTGTTCCCTCTTCATTGTGATGGTCCTTTAACCATCTTGCAAAAACAATTATTCTTTGAAGCTTGGCTTCTGTGTTACCTTCCTTAGTTCCCCGAAGGAGAGTTTGTGGTAGACTGTTCAGTTCTTCAATAACCAATTAGAAATCCTTTTTTACACATCTACCTTTTTACCACTGTAAGGCTCCCCTTAAAGACAGTGGCCTGGGTGGTATATAGGAAAATTACTGAACTAATTTGGGGAGTTACCAAATATTTTGAGTGTAGATAGAACAATTGGAGATAGTATGTTGGATTTTTACTGTGCTTATTTGCTAATCAGGGTGATCATAAGAGGTATTTTCACAGGAGATTTTGAGGGAAAAAGCAATAATTTGGGTTTTTTGCTTGGAAGGTCAAGATAGGAACACCAGCAGCTTGCACATGTCTATCTCCTGGGTCATTTCTTTGGTGTAGGGTGCCACTCAGACCTGCAACTGTCCCACTACCCCTTGGATCCTCTTTCATCACCTCCAATTCCTGGGCTAAGTGTGTTCTTAGCCCATGACAAAGGGTGCTCATTTTTGCAAAAAGGCTCTTCTTCAAATGCAGAGGCAGTGAGAACTGGTACGGTCCAGCCCCTCATCATAAGCTCTAACTTCTTTTCAAGGGCTTCAGGTACTTTAGTTTCCTCTCCTCTTCACAAATTTGCTTTTTATGTGAATTTTCTTGATGATTTGAACCTTCAGCATTGGATATAAAAACAACAACCTTATAGATAGTGCTTGATCAACTCCCATAACTGGGTGAGGCTAAATCTTTATAACATTCTCTTTCACTCTCTCCCGCTCTCCTTCTCTCTGTCTATATCTATATATAGCTCTATCTATATATCCTAGTATATATTGGACATATAAACATATGATATTGTAGGGTAGTATATATCTATATATAGAATATATAGGACATATATAGGATATATAGGACATATAGGACACACACACACACACACACATATATATATATATATATATATATATATATATATATATACAGATAGATAGATATAGATATATATATGATGTATCTATATCCTAGTATCCCTTATTTAACTCTTATCTTCTGGTCATTCTCTAATTGAATCCTGACACAGAATCTGATGCTAAAAATGGAGTCAAACCTTGCATTAGTTATTCATTGCTACAAAACAAATTGTGCCCAAACAAAAAATATTTACCGTCTTAAAGTGGGTCAGGAATTTGAAAGCAGTTTTTCTGGGTGTTTGGGTAAAGGGTTTCTCATGAGGCTGCAGTCTATGGGTCCATTAGGGCTATAACCATTGGAAAGCTTCACTGGGTAAGAAGGATTTGCCTCCAGACTCACTCATGTGGTTGTTAGTTGGAGGCCTTGGCTGCCTCTGAGATCTCATCAGAAAGCATCGAGCTGGCCTAGGGAAATAAGTGATGGGTGGGAGGAGGAAGAAGAGGAAGATGAGAAAGAGGAAGGGAGGAGGGGAAGAGTGGGGAGGAGGACAGAGAAAAGGTAGGAGGAAAGACAGGAGGGGGGTTAGGAGTAAGAAGGAGAGAAAGGTGCAGTACCTTTTATAACTGTCTCAGATACCCACCCACAGCTCTTCCATAGTATTCTACTCATTATACATGAGCACTATAAGGGGAAAAATTTCAACTTCTGAAGGAAGGAGCATTATAGAATTTGTGATCATATTACAAAACCACCATCTATCTACAGAGAGAATAAATACAACAGAGGATCAAGTATCTCATTTATCTAAGATGCTCCAATGATTTCTCTGTCTTTCATATTTTGTTACATATGAGTGTCTCTTGCACCCATACAACTCTAGTCTCAGAAATTTACATGTCACTGTTATTTCCCTTCCAGTGTTTCCAAATTCTTCCCAACTTGAAGATACTTCAATTGTAGCCACATACTAACAATGGTATTGAATTTATGTCCTGAAAGACTCAAATGAACTGAAACTCAGTAAGTATACAGTTATTGAATGAATATTTTTGATCATTTAAATACATGCACATTAACACATTTATTCATTACATGTATATTCACCCTGAGTGTATTATGCCCAATTTTCTGTACTAAGCAACACAAAAATTGATAAAAATATAGTCCCTATATTTAAGGAACTATCGTATCTGAGGTTTCCAAGATCTCAAGGACAAATTGGCCTTCAGCTCCTAAAAACAGAAGCCATATCCCCTTCTTTAGCAATGGTTTCTTGAAATTCTGAGTCAGAGTCTTGAACAGCATGGGTCTAACACTGTTGGTGTGAATGCCTTAGCCAGTGCTGGGGCTTTGTTTGGCACAGTCATGATGCTGGATCTCCCAGGGCCAGATTGAGCAAGTGGGGGCTGCTTAAAGTGAGGTGCTACAGAAGGTCAAGGGCAGACCAGAATGACCCCTCAGGTTCCTGCTCCTGTCTGGTCTCATGATGTACATCAAGAGCGTGTCAAGGGGAAGGTGATGTATGCAATATCCCAGCTACTCCTCTTGGCATACTCTGAGGCTATTTTTGGAGCAGGTGCCCTAGATTTACTCCCTATCACAAACAAACTTAGAAGCAGTGGGGGAAGTAGAATGAAATTTTCCGTTTGAAGGGCCCTGGAGGTTGTATAATTCAGTTCAATGAGCAGGTCCTTCCTGTGTCATTTCCACAAGTGCTCATCCAGCCTCAACCTGGCCGGCTCGAGTCCTGGGAAGCTCACCACCTCCGGAGCTGCTTCTGCCACTGCGGGTCAGTGCTACCAGCTTGAATGAACTCCCATTCTCATTGCAACAGAGCCCATTTCTCTATAACTTCCAGTGTTCTCAACTTTAATTACCTTTCCACAACAACACTAATAATTACCATAAAAACTAACATTTATGAATGGTTCTTATTACTAGAATAATACATAATTCAATTATACGTGTATCGGAGACCTGACCTTAGACCCAGTCTCTCAAACTAGTGCTTAATAAATAAGACAAGTGGTATGATTTTAGCGCTCTAGGAGGATAAAAACTCTCTGCAGAGTTCGAGACTCCGGAGGATAAGACAAGGAATGTCTCTGGGTGGCCCATATTTATTTAGTTTTCAAATCAGGAAGAGGTTAGAGTGGAAAATGCAGGAAAATGAACAGACCTTGGGAGTGGTTTAAGGACTTTTCCAAGTAACAGATTATGTTTATTTTAGGAGCACTGTCGTATGTTAATTTAGGAGAAGTATCTTAGGAGAAGATCTCCATGTTGCATTTCACTACAGGAGTGAAATGTCTGCAGCTACAGTCTTTGTTTAGTTCACTGGAGTTGGGGCCAGGTTCCCTCAGCTATGATCATATCTTGCCTTTTGAGGCATCTCTTTGTTCTCAGATCGGTCATGTCTCAGCCACGCCACAGTCCTGCACATGTGTTCAATTTCCAGTGTCAATGGCTCCCAACATATGTGTATATGTGTTTATGTACATAATGACCCTATACTTCGTATTTTACTTTGATGGTTGTGTGCATTACACAAGCTTCTTCCTCTAAACTGTAAGTATCACAATAACAAAAGACATGGGTCACATTTTGCCTAGCACTTTCACTCACTCTAGTGTCTGGGCTGATTTGTGGTACTTTTAGGAGCTCAATGAATATTTGCTGAACACAAAAATGAATTATCAAATAGAGCAGGCATGTCTTCAGGCTGAGCATGGTTCTCTGACCTTGCCATTCTTCTTCCTACCACTGTCTGGAGTACTATTAATCAGTGAATGCCAAATCTCTATAGTGGGTTAAGCATGAAGTTTCTGGAACATATTTAAGGTTATGAATGTAGAAAGAAGGAAATTAGTTTTAACTAGAGAGGACTTAAGTTCAAATCTCAATCAGTTACTTGTAGCCTTGGGTCTTCAGTTTGGCACATCAATGTCTTTGATATGTTGGATATGTTGAGAAAGAAGAGAAAGTGTTCAAGGATTGTTGTGTGAATTAAGTAAGGTATGAGACAATTGCAGACATTTGTAAGACAGATACTCATCACAATTTAAGCCATTAGTCTTTTCCGTGAGTCCCCACAATGAAGCTATGAGGAATGTAGTACCATTTCCCCCATGCTGTAGATGAAGATCTGGAGTCCAAGAGCTATTAAGTATATTAGTAGAGAAAAGTGAAAAAAAAAACCCATAAACCCATTCTGTATGGACCTAGAATACAAAGTTCTGACTCATCTTGCACTCTACCTTATACACACATGATTCTCATTATCCCAGTGTCCAATTCATCATCCCACAGCCTTTCCCACCACCATCTTCCTAGCTCAAAATGAAGGCGTGCTGGTGTAGATCCCACTTTTCAAGTCATGGTTGCAGGATTCTGAGGCTGAGGAAGGCTACAAGAGAGATGCTTTGATAATACAGTACTTGCATTGCACACGCACACACACACACACACACACACACACACACACACACACACACACTGTTCTCATTATCTCTCTTGCAGCTTCCCCCAAGCACAAAGTTGCATCATCTCACGATTATCTACTGACATCACCAACAATCCAATAAGCATCAGGGACTAATCAAGAGAGAGACTTTCTAAAAATAGCTTTTATTTTCTCCACACCACTGGTTAATATTGTCCCCCATCTATACAATCTAATCAGGATACTTGCTGATTTGAAAGCAAATATAATAACAGTAAGAGCACTACTTTATTAGCATGCAGCTTAGAAAGCAGCTCATCCCAAATAGTCTATTTTTTTCCACATGAAAAGTTTGGAGATTGCTCAGACAAGCCAGATATTACTTGGAGGCAGGAAAGGGGAGAGATATCTGAAATCAAGAAGCCTCACAGAGAGTTATCAGTCATCTGCTTTTTGCTGCTAGGAGTTTGGAATGAGATTAGAAAAGGATGTGGTAAGAATCAAAGATCATAGAGTTGGAAATACAAGTTGGGAGATCAGAAAGCAGGCTGACGACGCATAGACCCCAAGCTTGCTATCATTAGCAGTGACTCCATGATGTGGCCAGTGAATTAACAAATTGCTTCTAATCCTCATAGAAACCTTGGGGTAGAATACTCTTCTGTTTTGTGGATAATGGAATCAGGCTGAGCAATGTGAGTTGATTTGCTCAGTTACAAAGATTGTAAAGAACACAACCAAAATTCAAGTATCCATGTTCTCCAATTCATTTTCCATGCTCTGTGTGTGTGTGTGTGTCTCTGTGTATGCACATGTGTGTGTATTTAATTGCAGAACACATATGGCTCAGTCTCCCAGTTCCTCTTTCTCAAATTTTCCTTTTCCTTTTTATTCTAATCCATTGGAATTTTCCACTTAATATATCTGGACCAAGGCTGGCCATGAAACTTTGGAAAGCAAAACGGCAGGTAAAATGGGTTTATATACTACCATTTCGCAGCACTCAATGTATATCTATAAGCTGACGAATCAAGTATTTATGTTTCTGACCTAGACCTCCCTTGTGAGGCTTCATCTTGCAATTTTAACCTGCCTACTTGACATTTCCACTTAGCTGTCTAAGAGTAATCTTAGACTAAACACTTTCAAAACTAAAATCTTGATTTTATCTCAGTGTCCAATTCATCATCCCACAGCCTTCCCCACCACCGTTTTCCTAGCTCAAAATGGAGAGCATTTTTTCACCTTGCTCTCTTGGCCCCACACATATCTATCAAATAGCTCCAACCTGCCAATCTGGATCCACTACCTGCATCCACTTCAGCCCTGAGCTGTAATATTTGTGGTCTTCCTGCATCCAGTCTTGCCCTCTGCTTTATTTCCTGCTGAGCTGTTAGAAGGAAATCCCACCTCCCCGCATGACTTTTAAGACAATGTGTGATTTACCCTGCATTTAGGTTAGTGTCCCTTTTCTTTATGTACACAGTTACCCTGGCTATGCTTCAGCTCGCTGATATGCTTAACTTCACTATATCTTTGACCTTTTCACAACTGGCACTGAATCTTCTAATATTCCTTTTCTTCTGCTTTAGCTGCTAAATCTTATTCATCTTATCTTCAGAATCACAAAGTATAACTGGCACCTCCTCCAAGAGACTCTCCAAAAGTACCCAATCTATCATATGGAAGGCATTTTCTATTTGGCATGGTTTTTAAATCTTTAGTTCTTTTGGCTAATTGAATATTCATTAATAATTTCTTTATGACATTTTGGTAAAATAGGTATATTTTCTCTCTTTTATGAGAAAAATCAAGACACAGGGCAGTTGAGTAACTTTTCCAGATTGCAAAGCAAACAAGTTGAAGAGGCAGGATTTGAAACCGAATTATTCCTACTGCTGATGTGATATCCTATACAGTGCACTGTGCTGGCTACCTACCACACTGCCCGTTCAGTGCTTGGTGTATGGTAGGTGCTCAGTGTAGTATAGCTCTCTCTTACATCTTTCCCTCATTCACTAAGTTGTTGCTTCACTCAGGTTCACATTAAAAATATTTTCTGTTCTATCCACATCTCCTGTGCTTGTAAAAAGAATTGAGGTTCTTCAAAATCAAAGTTTTGTGGCTGGGGATTTAGCTCAGTGGCACAAGTGCCTGCCTAGCAAGCACAAGGTCGTGAGTTTGATCCCTGTTCTCAAAAAACAAAACAAAGCAAAGCAAAGCAAAACAAAAACAACTTTACTTTGAAATTCAAAGTTTTTATCACAGTCTTTCCTTTGTTTATTAAACAATTCTGAACTATATCTCCAGAGCTCTTTCTCTAAGATCTTTGATACGTCTCTTTACAGGACTTTGAACTGAACCACTTAGTTTCCATTCCTTTACTTCACAGAAGCTTTCAGTTCAGAACCCACTTTCCTCTAGATGAAGGTCTTTGTGCTCAAAGTACCTAAATTCAGCAAGGAAACTGATAAGCAAATAAGCTAGATACGACAACAGCAAATGCAGTACTTCATGACCTCAGGTTGCTTTCTTCATGGCATTTACCACTGTCTTACTCTGTCTTGTGGACTTTGTGTGTACTTGTTCATGTTTCTCTGCACTCCAATACCTGCCCAAGACCAAGAAAATCATCTGTGAAAAAACTAAGGCTGAACAGGAGATGATGAGGTGAAGAGGTTGGAAGCAGACTATGTCTGAAGAGAAGAGCTTGTGCAAAGGTGCTATGGAAAGTGGATCAGGACAAGTTCAAGGATCAGAAAGAAGGAACTCTGTCTAGAATGCATAACTGATAGCAGTCCACCCTCTGACCCACAGCACATGTGCAAGCTTGTGCGGAAGATTTCTTCCCAGGTGAGCATTCTGATAAACACTTAGATGGTGATGGTGATTATATAATAGTGGCAATGGTTGTTGCTCTTAATGCAAAGTGGTCTCAGGAGAAAAATAACCCTGTTGAATTCTGTCACTTGGAAATGATAAGAGATCTCTCTTTTCCCATCTGGCACAGCTGATAGGGAAAAGGAAAATAAATATATTGGCAAAAGTCGCCTTATCTGGGGCTTTTGAACTGTGTTCACCACCAGAAAAGACATAGAAATGTAGACAAAATGTATCACAGAGCCTGAATAGAAAGTCCATTTATAAAGCTTATCATATATAGCAATCCTTCACCATATCTATGGAGGACATGTTTTAAGCCCCCCCCCGAATACTTGAAACCTCAGCTACTATTAAATTATGTGTATAGTATATATAAATATAAATATATATATTATATATATATATGCAGTATTACCACAGCATTTTTTTCTTTCTTTGCCTTTTAGCATCAAAGGCAATCTGTTTTTTTTTTTTCTTTTTTTTTTTGCAGTACCAGGGATTGAACTCAGGACCTCACACTTGCCAGGCAGGTGTTTATGCCACTGAGCTAAATACCTGGACCGGCAATCTGTTTTTCTACATCTTATGTTATGATATCTCCTTTTGATTTTTACTCTTGCACTTAGAAGATATTATTAAGTAAAATAAAGATTGCTTTAACACAAGCACTGTGACACTGTGAAACCACTCTGATACCCAAGATATCTACCAAAGTGGGTAATACGATGCTGGTTCCTTGGCAAGGCATGATTCATGTTCTAAGCAAGATAGTGCCAAGTGACATGAGATTTGATTGTGGTATACTGGACTGAATGTAATTTAATACTTATGAACTGGTTATTTTTTGAAAATTCCATTTCATTTATTTGTTCAATATTGGCTGTTGGTGACTATAACTGCAGAAAGCAAAATCAGGGAGAGGGCTCTGGTGTCTACTGTATTAGCTAAATAAGCAGTAACCAGAATGAGCCTGAGAACTGACTCTCAGGAGCATCTGCTGAGTTGACAGACTCAGATGTCACCCTGTATCCTTATGTTGGATATGAGGATGTCACACTCCCCTTTGTGACTCTCACTTGCTTTCTTCATGGCATTTGCCACCCATCGTGTGTATCACGTGGATTGTGTGTGTATTTGCTTGTGTCTCTACCACTTTTACACCTGTTGTGTAAGGGCACAGCAAGTCTCTCTCATCCATGTGACATCATGAAGTGCAATGCTGAGCACCAGGAAAACTGTCAACAGACTAACAGAGTCAAGTAATTTATCCTATGTTGTTGAGTACAATGTTGTCCTGTATCAGTGCACTGAAAACCTGGAAAATCATAGGCATATGCTGCATTTCTTTACTCTATATCCCCCACATTTGGTACAGCACTGGATAATGGTAGGTGCCCAGCAAATGTTTATGGAAGCAATGTAAGATGCACTCACTATGGAGTGCTGTTTGGTATTTCTCTAAGGCAGTGTTTATTTACTCAGGCATCAAATCTTCCAGATTGAGTGTTAAAATGCAAATTACTGGGCCCCATCTCATAGATATCTTATTCTGAAGCAGAGTATCTCTTTTTTTTTTTATTTGAAAGAGAATAAAACCAGCAAAATACGACAGAATAAAGCCAATCAAAGCAAACCAGTGTAAGTGACACAGGACTTGAAAACAATAGAAAATCAACAATGATTACCATAATGCCTCTTGTATTCAAAACAGCTGCAGATGCCTTCAAACATAGGAAAAATCAAACAAAATGGAACAGAATAGAACCAATAGAAACAAAACAATGGATTCAATAAAGGACTTCAAAATAAGACTATAGTAAATCCAAAATGGCTACCATAATGTCTTGCTATCTATGAAATAGCTGCCCGTGCCATCATATATAACCAAATCAAACAAAACAAAACAGAATAAAACCCAACCCAACAAACCAGTAAAAATGATACAGTACTTCAAAACAAAATAGTAAGAAATTAACAATGGCTACCACCTTCAGGAGATCTTCAATAGATGCCACACTGCATACCATAATCCTCTGAATAGATGATCAGACCACCGGCCATAGACCCACAAAGTCAGTGAAACACCAAACACCACAAGTATCAAATTGCATTTCACTTGAATAGCTATCATCATAGCCTGTGTTTCTCAGGATCGGTTGCTTATGGAGGTGGGGAAGTGGGTGGGTCTTCCTGTTTCCTAGCCCATGCACTGAAAGAGGCTGGGGTTAGCCTATTATCCCATCATGAAGCAGAATCTATTAAATGCTGCTGAAGGGAGAGTGTGGTGTTATTGATGACTTTTACAGGTGATTCTAGGGCCAGTGCAATGTGAACATTTTCCCGAATCTCATACTTTTCTTCTTTCACTAGACTAGACTAGGCATTGGGTTCTCTATTTAAATCAGTTCATAATAGAGGAGCTGTGCGAGGGAGAGGATTTTAATGAGGGATATCCTCTGGCTCTATGCTTTGTTGTTAGAGACCTTAAAAGGTACAAAAAATGGATGAAGCAAGGCAATGAAAAATGCTTTTTTGCCCACAGGTTTAGTCCTGACCATAGATAATTGGAGTGAACACTCATCCAGCCCTGATCAGGCCCTGAAAGTTATTTCTTTCTTTGTATTTTTAAGCTGAGTCATTGAGAGGCTCAGCGGTTGGCTAACAAATCATTCCTGAGTCCTATTTACAGCTCCATAATTGCGAGGTATGTGCTCTTGGCAGTCAGTTACCTTTCCTGAGCCTCAGTTTCCTCATTTATAAGATAGACCTCATAACCACCTTCAGGACAATGGCAAGAATCAAGTGGTAAAGCACACGGGCACACCTGCCACAGCTGTATCTTATTAAAAAGTAATGGAAATCATTATTTGAATGCTTAAAATGTGTCAGCAGCAGGATGCTCCTGAGTTGTATAAATGCTAAGTGGGGAGGGAAACAATTAAATGACTGTGGATGTCTTTGGGGGTAATTCCTGTCATTGCTGGATGTCTCAGACACAGGAAGGTAGCACCCATTTTCATGTGTGTGGCAGGTTGAAGCAGCATTTTCAGAGAAAAAGCCTAGGCTGGGACCTCATGGTAAGGAGGAAAGAGCCATAGCATTGATGTTTTAGATTGAGATGGCCCTGGTTTCTGGCCCGTGGCCCTGAACAAACCACTAACCTCCTTGAGCATCTTTTAGTAGAGATCATACTGTACACTTTGTTAAATTATAGGCATTAGAAACAATAGTAGGAAAAAGAAAACCTGACCAGGTTTGCCATACATCAAAGGTTCAATAAGCAGCAATTGTAATTAATAATAGCTGGTTGAAGAGTGATATACCTTAACTATCTGATGCTGTCCTGTTGTGGATCGAAACTATTATCTGCAGTTTTCTGTGCTCAGGCTGAAACAATGGGCTGTGCCTTCCTATGAATTTAGTAATTTCTTCCTACCAGTGGCCTTTTATTCTCTCTGGTATATAGATGAGAACCCTAAATCTTAGAATTAAGACATTTCCTCAGCCAAAACCAATGAATGGTGGTATATTCTAGGATTTCATCTCTCAGAAATTTCCATAACTGCTATAGTCTCATCTTTAGGTTTTAGCTTTAAAGTTACCTCCACCTCAAAATTATCCTTACCTCTCCCCAGCCTAATGACAACAGCTCCCAGCCCCTCTGTCCTCACCTGTTTTGTCTCTCTCACAGCACTAATTGTCATTGCTGTGATGTTTTCCATGAACTTGACCTGAAATATAAAAGTAAGAATCCTATTCCAGTTATTACTGTAAGCTCCAGCATCCAACAGTCTGGCATGTAATTGGTATACAATGTAAGGTTCTTTAGAGGAATAAAATCAGTTGAAAATATATGCATAATTAATCAAGAGTATTTATTATATAGGCTTACACAATCAGAAGGAAGAGATTACACAATTGGCAACCTGCAAGATCAGAGGCAGGAGAACCTATAGTAGCTATCTATGTTCTAGAGAGACAGAAGATTCCAATAGCGATCATCCCAAGAAGATGGAAGACATAAAATAAGGAGAATCAAGGATTCATCATTCAAGGTCACAGACCTGGAAACTCACTGTAGAGTTGCCAGTGCAAGTCTGTGTTGGAAGGCTGAGGGAATGAGTGCCTGTGGAAGTGATGGCAAAGAATGGAGCTCTTTAGAAACAGGCATGTGTTGTTGTTGCTGTTTGTGTCAATTTGAGAAGAATAGAAGCTTAACTAAGTAACTCAGCAGCTCTACATCCTGGGATGTAAAGAACAAGCCTTTATAGCTCTATCATGCTGTTCATTGTGTCAATTTAAGAAGGTCAGAAGTTTAAGTGATCAGTAGGTGGGGGAGAGTCCTTACTTTGCAAACATCCTCATGGTGTGCAAAAGGAGGGAACGGAGATGGTGTGAGTGCTACACTTGCCCTAGAGGTTGGTAGCTTGCTTGCAATATAATTGAGGAAAAGCGGCTTGCTCTCTCCAATTTTATTCTTCCTGCCTTTGCTATCTTCTGCCACCTTGAAATATTACCCCTGTATCATGCCATCCTGCCTTGGAGTCAGCTGACTATGGACTGAAACCTCCACAAGCTGTGAGCTAAATAAACCTTTCCTCCCTTTATTTTCAATGTGGGGTATTTTGTCTCATCAATGAGACAAATGTAATCAAGACAGCTTGCTTCCTTAATTCACCCAGGTTATGAGCCAGTTTGTTGATGCCACCTATATCTGACATGGATCATCACCCGCTCCCTCAGTTTTCTGGTCTACGTGTCAATAATACATAGACACATCCATAATGGTACTTTACTAATCTGCTAGGAATTTCTTAATCTATTCAAGTTGATGAATCATGATTAATGGTCACAGTAGGTATGTAATAAATGTCTATGAAATGGATGACCAAATGAGCCGAAATGTAAATCCAGACAGCATGATTCAAGTTCACAGCCACTGCATGATACCATGTGTCTTCCAGAGTTAT